TATTCCCAGTTATTAGTAATAAAAAATCAAAATTGTGGCCAAATGACAGAAAGAAAAGCTGAATAGTGAAAAAAATGAGGATAAAAATTGAGACCAAGGCCAAGACAAAGGCAGAGACCCAGGATAAGTCTTGATTATTTCATAGAGTGGTGGTAGTATTAGTCTTAGAAAGGAAGAATAAAAAAATTACAGTAAACATACAATGTATGAGGAACACAGAAGTGTTTCTCACTTAAGAGGCCTCTTAAGGAAACCAAGTTACTACAAAATAAACTAATTGGAATTATTACTAATTCATTAATAGACATGTATGCATCAAGTATCCATATCTCATTTATTTAAATATTGGATAAAGTTGAAGATACAAAGGGAATAAGATGAGGCATTTAGCCTTGAGACTCTTAATTCTATTTGAGAGACCAATAGGAAAAAAATTAGGTATAACATGTTGAGTATTTTGATGAAGACATACTAGACAAGCTTTAGATTACTAAGAAGGGAACAGCCTACCCTCCATAGACATATTGGAGAAAGTTCAATAATTGATGACTCTAAAAATGTGAGGAATGAGTGGGCCATACATGAAGGGGAAATGATTTTAGAGGCTGAGATCTCTCTCTCTCTCTCTTTCTCTCTCTCTCTGTCTCTCTCCCAGTGGAATCTTGAGACACAAGGGCATATAAAGGAAACTGTAAGTATTTCAGTACAATTCCTGTGTGATGAAAACTTAGAGGGTTAGATTGTAGATGTACGTGAGACAGAGAATCAGATGCTCAGCTTAAGGAATTCTGACTTTACCTATAGATGAAGAGTTACTAAGCAGCATAATGTGAAAATATCAATTCACAATTTCTACTTGTTAAGAAGGTGATCTAGTTACTCTATTTTTCTTCTTTTCTTTTTTCCCTCTTTCTCATTTTTCCAATCTTTTCTTTTAACCTGTGATGTCTTCCCTTCCAAACACATGTCACTATCTCCTATTTACCAGTTATTTAAAGCAGTATCCTAGACTGAGTTAAGTAAAGTCAAAGATTTCCATATCAAATTTTATTTTTCACTATTAGTTTCCACATAGGTTCCAAGGATGAGTTTGAAAGAACAGATGATTGATGGGGTAGGAGTTATAGAGTAGATATTGAGTAATATGACCTTACTTTTCTATGTATGCAAAGGTCCATCAACTTTCTTTGCATACTTTGTCGCTATTAATACTGGGGATGAGCCTGTAAGTGAGAAAACACTCCAAGAAAGGATATATGGACAATGGAAAGGCATAGATGATGTATCAGGAAGAATGTCAGTGAGGACTCTGTTTTGGTCAAATGCATGGTGTATATTCTTTATTTATAAAGTTTAGAGATAAGGCCATTCAAAGATATATAGAGGTAGAAAATAAAACTCCTGGTTCTAGTCCCATTTCAAAATTTTATTAAACATTTGCCTAAGCAAAACAGCAAATATTGATGGCAATTTAGTTATTTGTAAAGGACTTCAAGCCACCAAATCA